CTCCCGTCGGCCCGGATGTCAGAGGATGCGGATGCCACCAGCCATGGCACAGATGAGGGCGCAGGCTCCCGTGCCACCGGATCTGCCGGAACCTCCGCCGGACTTGACGCCGGAACTGGAGGAGGTCGTCGATGTTGCATCCAGTGGGGATCAATAATGCCCCCTCCTCGATTTCCCTACCTAGGTCATTTTGTACCCCTCGGGTTTCTCTTCCCGGCCTGCTCGGGTCCTCATGGGATGCTCGGTGATTACAGTCGAGTAGTTATGCGGGATAAGGTCTGCTTCCAAGCCACCCTTGCCGAGGGCCGTCCTTTTCCCGCCTCTATCCTCCTGGTCACCGCTGCATTGTTTCGAGCCCTTTTTGGGCCTCTCCTCCACATCCTGGGCCCCCTTCTTGCGGCCCTTTGCCTGGCTGGCTTCCTCCGACTTGGAAGCTCCCCGGGCGTTGGTCGACGCCGCCACCTGGTTCTCTGGCCCAATGCTTTAAGTCTTGTCTGCCTGGCTTGCTGCGTGAGAGCTGCTACGGCTGTCGGTGGTGCCACCGGAGAGGTTCGGCTCTCGAGCGCCCTGGTAGGCCGCACTGCAATGGGTGTGTCAGATTGCCGGCTTAATACACCAGCTGCTCTGGCGCTTCTCGCACATAGGAGGCCTGTTGCTACCCCTGCACGTGCCCGTGCTAGGATCAACCAGGACCAGGGTTCACCCCGACAGGTTTGTCAGGGGTTAGATGCCAACCCATGCGAGGCCCCCCCTGATCCTGGCTCGAGGGAGGTGGTTGCTATGGAACCGGTCCAGCCTAAGCTGCATTCAGCCTTACGGGAGCGCCTCCGGCAGCTTGAGGACTCTGAAGACTTCCGTCTAGCTGGACTCTCACTGGGTTTCAAGGTGGGCCACGTGCGGCAAATCCTCAGCCCCCCCTTGCGTTTCGCACTCTTCGATGATTTGCTGGACGCCTGTGGTGTAGAGACGCAGCGTAATCTGCGGCAGCTCATGGACAGTCAAGGTCCCCTTCCCGACAAGCTCTTCTGCTTTACGGATGGATCCTTCTCCCCGCCAGCCTCCGGCGTCGGGGTGCGGTGTGGATGGTCCTGTGTGATGTTCCACCCAGCCAGTTCCACCCTCAGTCTAATTGGAGGCCCCCTTCCCGCTTGGGTTTTAAAGGATACTCCCCCCTCTGCATTTGCGGCCGAGTGCACCGCTTTGATTGCAGCACTATGGATGCTTCCAACAATTTTCTGGGGCTACACGATCGAGGTGTTGAGCGATTGTCAGGCGGCTATTGCCATTGCCAATGGCAGCCGTGCTTGTTCTACAATCGTCGGGCAAGCCCTCCGAAATGTTGCATCCTTTGCTTTCGCGCAATTGCCTTGCCGTCTCAGCATCGGCTATGTCCAGGGCCACGCAGGCTTCTTTGGGAATGAAGCTGCGGACCAGGTTGCAAAAAAGGTTGCCGAGGGGCAGCCCATCGGTCATCTGCCTTGGCCGTCTTGGCCCGATTTTGACTGTTGGTCTTTCGGAGGCAAAACCTGGTCTTGGATCGGCGTTGTCTGTCAGTGGCTTGCGGGAGACTGCGCCCTCCCAGACTTGCTAGGGGGGAAGCTTTGTGTGAGCCGGACTATCGCCTCGGCGGACAGGCCGGCACTACTGAAACCCTTCCTCCCCATTTCAGCCTGCGACAGTTCCTCTGCTGGGGCATCGGAGGATGTTGTTCAGTGGGTTCCCTTTTCCATACGCTTGGCTACTTACAACGCCCTGTCTTTGGGCGGTCGGCATGGTGCCTCTGATGTTGAAGCCTGTCCAGCGGGGTTAGCCCACCAACCGGCCCGACCATTCAGGAGGCGCGCACCCCGGCGGGAATGGTTCACACCGGAGGCTATCTACGCTTATGTTCCGGCCTAGGCGTAGAACTGTGGGTGCGGTTAGGGCGCAAGGTGCTGCATGGACCCCCTGGTTCCACTTGTGAGACTGCGTTGCGGGAGGAGCATTTCCTTGTGTTACACCGGGACGCCCGACTCCTTATTGTCCTCTGCCAGTGCGGTCTCTCGGTTATTTTCGCGGTTGCCCATGCGCCGCATCGGGGCACCGAGCATCACCTACTTGAGCAGTGGTGGAGCCAGACGTCTGTGCTGCTCCGCAAAATCGTCAAGGGACGTCCTTTAATCTTGGCAGGAGATTTCAATGCCAGTGTTGGTACACAGGTGTCCAGTCACATCTCCGATCTCGCTGCTGAAGAACAGGACCTTGCTGGGGAAGCTCTACACCGGATCTTGCGAGATCACGAGCTCTGGATCCCAGCTACCTTTGAGGGTGTGCACATAGGTAGCAGCTGGACTTTCGTCCAGAAGCGTAATCAGGCCCTCATCCGCCCTGACATGGTTGCCATACCGCTTGCGTGGCGCCAAGCTAGAGTTGCCAGTTGGTCTGACCCGGGAGTCACGGCGGCCCACGGTGTGGTCGATCACGTCGCATCCGTTGTCTCTGTCCGGATGCGAGTCTGCTGCTCCAAGCTTGCGCCTAGGAACACCGCTCGCAGTAGTGTTCCGTCCAGTGTCGGTGACCCTGCTTTGCATAGTGTGGTGAGCGGGGTGCTGGATGCTGCCCCTAGGCCAGCATGGGATGCCTGTAGCCACTCGCATGCGGCCTCCGTCACGGGTTTCCTGCAGGCTGAGCTCAGACATGTTGCTTCTACTGCCCCCCGACGGCCCACGCACCCATATCTGAGTGCGAGCACTTGGGATTTGCACGCCCAAGTAGCCCGTCTGCGACGGAGATGTGCCAAGATCAGACAGGACTCGCGTTTTCACTTGCTCTTTGCGGCCTTTCAGGCCCTGCGTGAGGGCCGAGGGGACGCCATTCTCGAAATGATTGAAGGACCTTGGTCCCTCTCAGCGCATGTTGCAGGCACTATAGCCAGCCTACAGCTGCGTGTCCTCGGGCGGCGTCTAAAGACGCACTGCAAGAATGACCGGGCGAAGTACGTCGAAGGACTTGCAGACGCTGTCGAGTGCAACCAGCCTGGGGCTGACACGGCTCTACAGCGGTTACTATGCCGCCGCCGCAAGAAGGCCTTTGGCCGGAAGTCCTCGACGACGCCGGTAGGCCGTGTGACACCCCGGAGCTCGTACAGCGCCGATGGCGGGACCATTTCAGCGCTATGGAGAACGGGGTAGAGGTCTCCGCCCCGGCTCTGAGTTCTCTAGCCCGGGCGGCCCAATCTGTTCTCCCAATGCCTGCTAGCATCCACGACCTCCCGTGTTTGGCCGATCTGTGTCAGGCCTTTGCCTCCACCCAGGCTGGGAAGGCAGGGGGCCCCGATGGCCTCCCTAGCGCCTTGAACGCTGCTTTCCCTAGGCAGCTCGCCCACATATGGTACCCAGTCCTGCTGAAATTCTGCCTGCTAGGAGAAGAACCCCTCGGGTTCAAGGGAGGAATCCTTACCCACCTTTACAAAGGTAGGGGTTCGGTCTCGTCCTGCGACTCTCATCGGGGCATACTTTTGCTATCAGTGGTTGCGAAAGCCTTGCACAGGGCGCTGCGCCCGGCCATTTCTCGACATTTTGAGGCCGTCGCACACCCCTTGCAACTTGGTGGCAGGCGTGGTGCCTCGGTGATCTTTGGATCGCACCTTGTGCGTTCCTTTCTGCGCCACCGTAATATGTGCAAGCTGTCGACGGTGATTGTCTTTTCAGACGTCGCCGCAGCGTATTATCGCACTGAGCGTGCGCTCACCACGCAGCAGCCGAACAGCCAGTTACCCGCGGTCCCAGCGGCTAGCACGGAACTCGACCTGGAATTCCAGCTCGCCCAACCGGGCGCCTTGGCCCAGCAGAGGGCATCGTCTTGGCTCCAAGCTGTCACACATGAAATTCATTCGGGCACATGGATGTCACTTGCCCGCGATGCACAAATTGTTCAGACCCGGAGGGGCACCCGCCCCGGGTCTGCTTGGGCGGACCTCTCTTTTGCAGTTCTCGCTGAGAGAATCCTGCGTGTCCGCGACGCTCAGCGCTCGCCCATTACTGTTGCCTCCGCAGGTAAGGCCGTACCTTGGGACGGCGCCCGACATTGGGGCGACCAGGCTGAGCCCCAGCCCGTCCCCCGTGCCACCCGGATCGAAGATATCATCTGGGCCGATGACTTTGCGGTTTGTTTAGGACCTAGTTCTGCCCTGCATGTGCGCCCCGTGCTGGCAAACGAGACGGGTGCCCTGGTTGATGCCTTCGGCTCACATGGGTTCGAGCTTAGCTTCGGCGAGCGCAAGACAGCTGCACTCGTTTCCCTTCGTGGGGCGAATGCGCAAAGAGTCAAGCGTGACCTGTTCCGGGGCGATGCCACCGTTCCGGTGCTTTGTGAAGGGAGGGGTAATGCCACTCTCCCCCTCGTTCCTGCGTATCGGCACTTAGGGGTCACTATCGACCCCTCGGGCAATATTGCAGTCGAGTTGAAGTTGCGTTGTCAGCATGCGTGGGTCGCTTTCCGTGAGCATCGCACAAAGCTCTTCCGCTGCAAGCGCATCTCGGTTGCCAGACGAGGTGCGCTTCTCGGGACCTTTGTCTTGACCCGCCTGACCTTTGTGCAAGCGCATCTCGGTTGCCAGACGAGGTGCGCTTCTCGGGACCTTTGTCTTGACCCGCCTGACCTTTGGGGCAGGCGCTTGGCCGCCCCTGCGTGCCTGTGAATCCCGTGTCTTTTCGAGGACCTTGTTTGCCCTGTATCGGGCGACTCTCGCTGTCCCGCGTGACAGTGATCAGCATCTTTCCACTGTTGAGGTCTGTTCCTTGGTCGGGCAGCCGGATGCTGATACAGTCATCCATGTGGAGCGTCTTCGATACCTTCGGCAGTTGGTCGCTGGTGCTCCGGATCAGCTGTGGGCGCTGGTTCGGTTGGACTTGCCTTACCTGCGTGCCCTCCGGGCATCTTTGGCCTGGTTGTACTCCTGGGTATACCGCACTACCGACCTTCCATGCCCCCTTGCGGACCCGGAGCCGTGGACTTCCCTCATGTGCCGAGCCCCGGGCCGCTTTAAGGGCCTCGTACGCCGAGCCAGGGGCCTCGCCCTCCTGCGAGCCTCGGGATACGCCGTCCTGCGGGCGCTCCTGCGCAGTTTGCAGGCCCTTGAGGGTGCTCCTGTTGCGCCCTCTGCCACCAGTGAGGGGGTCTTTACTGATGCTTGTCTCATCTGTGGCCTAGCCTTCACTTCTCGTGCTGCCTGGGCCTGCCATGCTTCCAAGAAGCACGGTTACCGGCTTGTGACCTCTCAGATGGCGGGGGCCAATGAACGGCTTTGCCTGGGTTGCGGCAAGTGCTTTGCCAAGCCAGCTCGGCTGCGCCGGCATCTCCTGAATAGTGTTCAGTGCCGGAAGTCCTGGGGCTCCTTCCAGCCATCCTCTGCGTCTCTCCCCGCCATGCATGCCCTGGCACTCCCCGTCTGTGTCCCGGGAGTCCTATCGGGGGCCACTGCTGCGACCGATCCTGCTTCATTTCACAGGGGGTTGCTGGAAGCCTTGACTGCGCTGGACCGGGTTGACTGTGACACAGCTTGGTGCCTTGTCAAGGACTTCGTTGAGCCTCTGTCTGTTCTGAGGACAACGGTTGGCATGTGGGCCGCCGGGGCTGGTGCCACACCTGACGTTGTGGAAGCAGCAGCCGACATCCAGTTGATGCTCGATCCCCAACTGTGTTGTGACGAATTTCGCGCCTCCCGTACCTTGGGGGAGAGCGCGGCTGTCTTCGCAGGCCTTGAGTGGCACCCGCCCTGTCCTTTCCCCTTCGTCCTTTCCGGGGAGATTGCCGTCTTCCGGCTGGAGGAGCCGCCCCTCCAGGGATACGTGTATCCCTTTACACAGAGCCTGCCTTTGGGGGTTGCCACGAGGTTCATGCGCTGGTTTGAAGTCTGTTGCGATGTTTTAGGAGCATTTGCACAGACGTCTGCAGTGCACCCTGTTTGCCTCTGCGCCTCTTGCGCAGCACTGGAAGCGCTCGAACCGGCTCGCGCCTGGCTCCTACGTGCGGGGTTTGTACAGACCGCCGAGGGCCTCCGATCACCGGCTTCTTGAGCCCCAGTTTCTTGTTTCACAGAATTTGTTTGCATGTGGCGCGTTCACCGAACACAAGCCATCCGAAAGAAAGTATCTGTATGTACTGCAATGCAATGCAATGGAAGGGTGCATGTATTTATGTACATGTGCGTATGTACGTGTGGGTATGTATTTGTGAGTATGTGCTTGTATGTGTATGCATGTGTATGTTTGTGTGTATGCCTGTGTGTATGTAAGTGTGTATGTATGTGACTGTGTGTGTATATGTATGTGACTGTATCTGTATGCGTATGTGTATATGTATGTGTGTTTGTATATGTGCATTTGTATATGTGTAAGTGTATTAATACCTCTCCCGGTCTCTCTTTCTCTGTCCATTTTGTTTCGCCCCCCCCCCCCCCACTCCCCAAGCGCACACAGACAGACACGGGCACAGACAGATGGAGCTGTTGGCACCCCACTTGGGCCATCAGGCCGGATTCCAATCAGGCATCATGAAGTCTCGCTGACAAGATGCTTCCAGAGCTCAAAGACTTTCTGATACGTGACAACCAACCCTAAAGCCCTAAACCCCAAACCGGAGGCAAGGTAGCAGTACCATTACACCAAGCCCCGACTCAATTTGTGTGAACCCAACCATTCATTATCTTGACCACATTACGAATGTTACCGAAATGGTTACAAGTTGTGGGATGTGATCTACCTCGTCCCTCTTGCTGATATTGCTTTGGTTCTCGGGGGCCGGGAACTGTGCCCTGAGGCTCCATGATACGCCAAGACAAGGTTCGTTTTCAAGGGTGCCCCGAAACCCTAAAGACTCTACAGCCCCGAACCGTACCTAAACCCCGAAACCCCCAACGGCCTTAAGCCCGAAGCCTTACACCTCAAACCCGAAACCCTAAAACCCTAAGCCCCTGAGCGCCTAAAGGCCTAGGCCCCTCTAAACCAAGCAGAGCGTCGGCTTGAGAGCCCGAGAGGCTTACACATGTACCAAAAAAAACCCCAACCCCTAAACCCAAAGCCTTCGAGAGGCTTACAGATGTCCAAAGAACGATTTCGATGCCAGGGGCTTAGGGGGCTTTGGGGTTCCGGGGCCCAGAGGGCTTTCGGGTTTCCAGGTTTGGGGTTTCAGAGTTTCGGGGTTTGGGATTGAGAGACTTCAGCGTTCGGGGGTTGAGGGGCTCGGGGGGCTTTGGGGGAGGGGTTTATGCTACTGTTTTCTGTTATCTTGATAATCAACACCCCTCCTTGTTAAAACCCCATAAGAAATCTAACCATCTACAACCTTCTGCAAAGCTTTAGGCCCCCTTAAGCACACAGTAAAGGCTCGTGTAAGTTCCTTAAAGCGGCAAGCCTACGCCACGATCATAAACCCTAGACGAAGTATAAACCTGTATAGTAGCAAAGAACGAAACCCTAAGCCCTAACCATAAACCCTAGACCCTAAAACGTAACCCATCGTTTCTAGAGTTCCTTTGTCTTCAAAACAGACCCAGGTCTGCCAGGAGTGCGCGAAGGCGTACATCCCCAGTGGGCCCCCCATCATCCGCTCGAGGCGGCTGTCTTCTTGTTGTTTTGTCTTCTTCGATTTTGTTTTTCAGGGTTCGGGGTCTCGGGTTTAGGCTACTAGAGGGGTTTAGGGTGTTAGGGTTTGGGGTTTAGGGTTAAGTTGTGTTTTGAGAGGTGTTGTTCAAAAGGTTGTTTTGTGATGGGCTGTTGCAGTTGGTATAAAACTTCATAGGAGTTTGCTGGATCAAGCGCTGCAGGTGTGCTTGACATGTTTCCTTTTCTGTGTCTTTTCTTCAATCGGGCTTGAAACGGTTTGATCAGGGGTTCGCGCTTTCTGTGTCTTTTTGGTGGTCCAGGGTTTTGAGCTTTAGAACCGTTGTTTCAGGATTTTGGATTTCCATTTTCGGGCTTTGGATTCTGAGGGTTTAGGATTTGTTCTTTGGGCATGTACCACGTAGAGGCGAGCCTAAAGAACAACCACAAGCAGACAAACGAAGAACCACGAACCACACGAGCAACCACCTAGACCCTGGACCCTGAACCCTAAACTCTACCCCCTACCCTAAACCCTGAGAAGCAGAGGCAGCGATACTTCCTTCATCTTACAAGGCTTTATTTCTGATGTTTAAGGTTTGTTGTTGTTCATCTTGGTTTGGTGTGGGATTTGTATTGCAGCGTTCACGTCCAGGCTTACTGCGTATTGTCTGTGTGGTCGTTTAGATTCGTTTTACCGTATTCTTATTGTTGTCGTGCCGTCCGTAATGCTGCTCTGCTCCCTAAACCCTAAACGCTCTTCCGAGTGGAAGCTTAGTGCACTTCAAAACAAGACCCAAAAACCTAAACCTCGTACAGCTGTTGCTGCTGCTGCTGCTGCTGCTGCTGCCTTGGTGCAGTGTCTTGCTTTAGTTTACTGTGCATGGCGGTGCTCGTTGTGTTGGTGGGTTTAGGGTGTAGGGTTGAGGCATGCATATGTGCAGCCACCAGGACCATGTCTGTAGAAACTTCGTCAACAAGTTGCACGGTTTGTGGTTCAGACACTGCCACGGGATAGTTTATGTCTGTTAGTTGGCTGTACCCGTCATATTGCTAGCAACCTGGACATGCAGTAAGTCCCATGATCCTTTAAGTAGGGTTCGGGTGTAAAGGCTGTAGCCACTACATCGAGAAAGCTGAGAGTTAGGGACCCAGAAAGGACGTAAGCATAGGCATTTTATAGGGATATCAGGATATCCTTACCTTATTGGTCTTCATTGTAAGGGCGGTTATATGGGATATCCCTACCTGAATTTGTGCTTATGTGCTTTTTGGGGCCCTACAGAGACAGGCTTCACTCGAGCCCCCTCGTGCCGGTGCCGCTCGGATTTTTGTTCATGCACAGGGGGTTCAGAGGTTGTTTGAGATTTTAGAGTTTGGGGGGGTTAGTACTCTAATACCCTAACTAACATCCGAAGACCAGAAGACTTTATCACCTTCGTCCCTAATGCCCTGCAAACTAGAAGGGTTTGCCTCCATGAGCAAAATATCTCTCAACAACCTAAACCATAAACAAAGAGTGCACTTAGGCTACTAGTGCGGTTTAGCTTCAGTTCATCTTTGGGGTTAAGTGCTCCCCAAGGATCCACCCTCCGCACCCCTCCACCCTCCACCCTCCACTCCACTCTCCACCCCTGCTCCACCCCCCGCGCTTCCGCTCCACCCCCGCGGCCCCCTCCCACCCACCCCATGGGGTCGGCCTCCACAGACTCTCCTTGCCGGATCTGCGACCGGTACTGCAGCGTGCTGTTGCGGTCAGTGCAACATCCAATGCTTCGATCGTAGGACTTGCCTTGGTGAGAGAACTGGAAGGCCAAACAGTGTAATGTATACGTTGGCCCATATCGGCTTCGAGGAGGATGTGTCGCTTCTCTGCGGCGCAGAAGTGTCGCCGATGCTGAAGGAAGCCATGGCCGTCTTGCACCAAGGAGGTGAAGCCACCTCACGAGAGGATCCAGAAGCTGCTTGATTCCCAGTTACGTGCACTCAAAGCCCATCTTCAAAAGAACGTGCGCTCGGCATCTGCTTAGAGCGCCGGCAGTTCATGATAGTTCATGAGCGTGGGCATAGCAACTGTCTCACAAGAGGGTTGTTCGGCCCCGAAGTAGCAATAAAGTGACTACTTTCAGGCCACAGTTTATAGCATTTGGCCGCATGCACCCTACGGGTGGTTCATGCGTCGCTGTAAGCAAGCTGGAGACCGTAGGCCCTAGCATAGGGGCAAGCATGATTACCAATATTGTTGTGGGAGTTCCTTATTTTAAAGCATAGTATCATATATATATATATATATATATATAACCCGAAACCTTATTCTAGTTAGTATGGCCCCTGTAGTAATGGGAGTTCGGATTACGGGGACCCTCGGGGATATGGACCCTCTCAATAAGGTCCCGTTTTTGAGAGCCAGGAGTAGGGTGGAAGGGGTATCCTTTTTTGGGGTCTCTCTCATCACGCTACCCAAGTAAACTGCTGATTCGGATTTAGGGCGCAGGGTTGGTCCCCAAACTCCAACAAGAAACTAGCTGATCCCTAAACCTACACCCGAAGCCTTAAACCCTAGTGTAGAAACCTGATTAAGAAACCCTGGGCGTATCACCCCAAAATAGTAGGATTCATATAAGGAGCCCTAATAATAAAGGACCAAGGTTTCTTAATCAGGTTCCTATTAAACCCTGCAACCCCTAAACCCCTAAACCCTAAACCCTTAAACCCCTAAACCCCTAAACCCTAAACCCCTAAACCCTAAACCCCTAAACCCCTAAACCCCTAAACCCCTAAACCCCTAAACCCCTAAACCCTAAACCCTAAACCGAATTAGACCCCAGACCCCAAGTCCAGAGCTCGAGTGCAGCCGAGGGTGCTACCACGTGGTCTGAAGAGCAGCCGGCTGACCTGTGCCGGCGAGCAGTTGCCAGGCCAGAGTTTACTATAGTCTCCCTAGGAGTTATTTCAACAATTTTGTTCATATAAAGGCCGAGAGAATATGAATAATATTGTTTCTATTATGGTTCTAAGGGGGGTATAGTTTAAAGGTTTAGGATTTGGGGCTTAGGGCTGCCAGGGATTTAGGTTTCAGGGTTGAGGGATTCGGGTTCAGGGTTTAGGTTTCAATCTTGAGGGTTTAGGGTCTATAGGGTCTAGGGTTTAGGTTGGAGCGTCTTCTTGCTCTTCAGCAGGTAGCAGTTTATAGGCTGTTTCGTGGTTTTTGCCCTTTCGCATTTGGAACCTTGCTGTAAATTCCATGTCAGCCGAAGACAGCGGACAACACTCCTCAAGCGTTACCTTAGTTTGCCGCCAAAACCTCGCAATGATTTCATGATATAGATCGTTAAAGCGGTAGGTCTCTCAACCCTAAACCCTAAACCCTAAACTCTAAACCGTAAGGTTTGCTGTGAAGGAGATTTTTCGGGTTTTGCGTTTCGGACGTTTCAATCTATGCGATCTAGGCTTTTGGGACCGCCATATATACAACA